TCTATAGGCTGCTGCCCCACCAAAAAAATCTATAGTCTATCTCAAACCCTCCCCCCATCCCCCACTTACCTGGTCTGTAGGCTGTCTCTGCCCCCCATCCCCCACTCCCCTGATCTGTAGGCTGTCTTTGCTGGCTGCATGTGTTGCTCCCCTGCGGTTTCAATCAGCAGAGAGAAGCAGGGATAAGATGCAGCTTCCTATCCCTGTCTCACTCCATACACAGCGCCACCTACATTTTAAATCTCACAAAATAGCAGAACAAGCTGAAAAATCCAGGGGGGGGGCAAGTGCCCCCCCTTGCCCCCCCCTGCGGACGCCCATGGAATCAATAGTTTTTAGGAGGAAGTTCCTTTGCCGGAACTACATTTTGAACAAAAAAAGTCCTTAAAAAATAATTTACAGAAGATGACGTGTGCAATGCAATTTTATTCCTTCCAAAACAAAAAGCGCCAGGCCCGGATGGGTTTTCTAATTATTATTATATTACAATGGAACCCATTTTGACACCTTATCTCACTATTCTTTTTCATTTTATAAAAAATTCAGGCAACATACCAAAAGAAATGTTGGAAGCATTTGTAGTGACACTGCCGAAGCCAGGGAAACCACCCACTGAGGGTGCAAATTTAAGGCCTATATCGCTTTTAAATGCTGATATAAAGCTGTATGCCAAATTATTAGCTATGCATATTAAACCCCTGTTTGATTACTTTGTTTAAATAGAACAGGCTGGGTTTGTGCCAAACAGGCAAGTAGGTAATAACACCAGATATTGTATAGATCTTATAAAATGAGCACACAGGAGTAAACAGTAAGATATCATCATAGCATTAGATGCTGAAAAGCATTCGATCACTTACATTGGATGTATATGTCTATGACTTTGAGCAAGATGGGGTTCCCTTTAGAGTTTATGAAAAGCATTTTAGCACTTTATTCAAACCCGTCTGCAAAGGTATTTCATACAGGTTTTTTTATCTCATCCATTTAATATAACAAATGGCACCCGTCAAGGAAGCCCTCTTTCACCAATAATTTTTATTTTAAGTTTAGAACCTTTAGTGAGGCACATTAAGCAAAACCTAGATATATGTGGCTTGGCCACACCTGCAGGAGAACAAAAATGATCCTTATTTGTTAATGATGTGCCTTATTTGTTTAACTCGGCAAGTGAGGGTCATTCCTTCTTTGATTATACTCCTCGAAAGATATGGTCGAGTTTCATATTCTAAAAATAATGTTAAAAAAACACAAGCTTTACCCAACAGATTACCAAGTTAGGAAATACAATTTTTAAAGGAGATACATACATTTGATTGGGGTAGAACATCAATTAAGTATTTAGATATTAACCTGTCTAAATGCAACGCTCTTTTAATTCAGGAAACCATAAGAAACTCAAGTACAAACTAAAACAACAGATGACAAAATGGAGAGACAGGGAGGTGTGAATTCAATAAAGATGATGATTATACCACATATGTTATACCTTTTTCGCACAAAGCTGCTGGTTGAGCTCCCCAGGTCCTCTCCTGCCTCCCTCTCTGTTTGTGGGTCGGTGAGGGGAGGCTTAGAGCAGAGCCGGCGCTCGGTTAGCGCTGGCTCTGCATGAGCCGACAGAGGAGATCCTTTCGATAACTTCAGATTTTTCAGTAAAATCATGGGTTAGGAAAGGAGTAGATAAAATAAGTCTGATATGCAATGAGAAAGGAATTAAGGTTTCCCCAGATTTGCAGGAACAATTCTCTTTATCATCTAAAGAATTATTCATATATGTCAGGCTTAAAAATAATTTTTCTTTTAGAGGTCTGTAAGCAAATAATATCTCTGATATAACTCCTTTTGGCCATCAATGTATGGGGGAAATAAAATAGTTAACTGCTATCCTTATGTTACAATGAAATTAAACCAAATCATATTATAAAATGGGAAGAGGAGCTGGGTAAATCTTTTCCTATTTCCCAATGGTTCCAGACTATTAAGATAACTATAACAGCATCCCATAGTCTATCCTATTTGTTAGATATTTATGAGATGGTACTTTGTACCTATTAGATTGGCACAAATGCATGTTCAGACCGAGATGTTTATGCGAGACAGGGACCTTACAACACATTTGGGAATGTTCAAGATTAAAGCTGTTTGGGAAAACTATTAGTAAAGTAATAAATAAAATTGAAAAAAAGGAAAAAATTCCCTTTCAGCCAGAGTGCTATTTACTTCACCTAATCCCTTCTTTAGCTGATTTGCCACATAAGTTTGTGATCCTTAACCTTTTGGGGGCTGCGAAAAATTAGCATAGCGGCTCAATGGAAAAAAATATAGATAATAATTTTCAACTCAAATTAATAACGTACGGTCTTACTGGCAAAGAACATATTCATACTAAAGTGTGGTTTATTTAGCTATGAGTGAAAATATATATTGAATATATATATATATATATATATATATAAAGAAAAGGAAGGGAAGAGGAAGGAGAAAGGGAAGAAAAAAAGGGAATGGCAGGGAAAGAATAGAGGAAGGAGTGGGATGAGAGGAGAGAACGAGTAGGAAGGGAAAAGCAGTGTATTATGTAGGAGGACATTAACACTAACTTTATGTTCATTTTTTGCTTGTTTGTCTGTTGGTTTAGTTTTATTTTGTATATTCTCTGGCTTGAGATTTGTATTTACACGAATTGTAAAAAAAAATCTTTAATAAATATAAAATATGGAAACAAAAAAATAAAAAAATAGAAAAAAAATTAAAAAAATAGAAATAAAAATATTTGGCTACATTGGGGATTTAAAGCACAGAGACACTTGGACATGGATTCTGCTGGTATTTTTACAGTGAAGAAATCAGTGCCAGATGGTGGAAATGTGTAGGGATTTGACTCATATTTTTATTTATTTATACTTATATTTATTATTACTTTTTTTGCACATGTTTTTACGTTATATTGCTTTTATTATTATATTATCTGGTGGATACTTAAGACTGTTTTGTGGGCTT